CACTAAGCTACAAGGAAGTAACTGAAGGAGGTCACTCCAAGCAAAGATCAAAGCGACCAACCACCCCTCTGACACTCAGTTAAAGGGTTTACTGATAAAAATCCTCACCTGGGGAAACAACCTTTCTTCTCCTAGCCATGTTCCTCCCCCTCTTGTCCTCTCACCTCTGCATTTATCCTATTTGATCTTAATCCCATCCATTCCATTCCAAAGGCTAGGGCATTTCTCATCTCCATTTCAAGGTCCCTTGAAACATCCCTGCAGAGACTGCCTCAAGCAGCCAAGGTGGATCGGCTTCCAGCAGTATAGCTCATTTGTGGTCACAATGAGGAGAGCAGGTTTTCCAAACTAAGTCAAGGTTCTGACAAATGGCAGAAGGAGTGCATGCTGGGTAGGCAACAACAATGTCTATGATGGGTCAACTTGGGGGACCGAGGTAGAATTGGATTAAAGATCTGAACTGAGATAACACATGGACTCACACTAAGGAATGAAACACATTTGGGGTCTGAGTTAGAAGTGAGGGTCAATTCCACTGTTAGGAATCAGCAGTCTAGTAGTAATCAGACAATGGTTCCTGCGTCACTCAATGCAAATGCCAAAGTCCTACCTTGGTCCTCAATTCCTGTGTCTTCCAAATCCTGTGAAGCCTCTGAACCCATCGCCTACCCTTCTTCCTCTGATTCATTCAGCTCCAATAAAAAAGTCTTCCCTGATAGAACATTCTAGATCTCCCTTCTCTTCTCACTTGCCTGTCACTCTTCCCAGGACTCACTGCTCCCCAGTAGCTACAGGAATCCATCTACCACCTCCTACAAGATTTTGTTCGAATGTCCTCTTCACCTGGGGTCTTTCCAACCACCTTTGCCAACATTATAACTTTAGGGGTTGCTGAGATCCAAGAAAACCAATAATCCCTTAGGCCTCCTCTGGACTTATTTTTCTCCATAGCACTCACTGCCACGTAAAAAACAACAATCTATAAATGTGAAGTTCTTATTTCCTTACTTAAGGTCTCTACCCACTGGAATGAGGGGCTTTGTGACTGAATTTTGCTGTTTTGTAAAAGCTGTGCCCTCAGAGGCCAGAACAGATTCTGGCTCAGAGTCAATGCTCAGTAGATACTTCAGGAATGAATAAAATATGCAAAGATGAAAATGCAAAGAAATTCATCCCACCATCGTTGTAATGAAAGCGAATCAAAGGCACTTCAATGTTGAAGAGTGACAAAAGTCAAAGAAAGCTATAGTGTAGAATAAAGGTAGCAGTAATCATTCTAAGTGAGGAAATTGTCCAAGACTTTTTAAATTTATTTTTAATTTGTTTGTGGTTGTTAATTCTCACCCAAGGATATTTTTTCATTGATTTTTAGGGAGAGTGGAAGAGAGAGGGAAAGACAGAAACATCGATGCAAGAGAGACACATCAATTGGTGGCCTCTTGCACGAGCCCCGAACAAGGCCCAGGCTGGAGAGGATGCTGCAACCAAAGTACATGCCCTCAACTGGAATCAAACCCAGGACCCTTTGGTCTGCTGGCCAAAGCGTTATCCACTGAACAGCTAGGGCTCTTTAAGACTTATTATAAAGTAAATAAAATGTCCATTAGATAATGTTCAGACTTTTTGGTTAGAAATTCATACAATGGATAGAAATCAAAGTATAATAAGTGAAAAAGAGTACATATTTAGTAGGTGGAGTTAGGAATGCCTTCCTTTAGATTCATACCCCAATATTAGGGTTGGGTTCAGGCTCAAAGACAGGACTGGGATTCAGCTTGACAAGTTCCCACAAGCTGCTCAGAGTCACGGTATCAGTTGTAGGCCACCCCTGAGAGGGGCTGAGGGAAAGAAAAGTGGCCACAGTGGGGGACCGAGGGCACAGTTCATCCTTGACTCCTGCTCCTGCCCCTCAAGGCTAGTTCCTGGTCACACCCTTCGTAGATGCCACCAGGGAGCTGGGACGTGCTGGAGCCAAGCCCCTGACCTGGCATCAGGAATGAGGGTGGAGGTAGAGTGCTGGCATATGGGTTGAGCTGCCTCCGGGTTCCAGATAAGAGCAAATGCAGGCAAGGTAACCCCAGAGCTGGGTTCGCTGAACTCCAGGACCCTGAGAGTTGGAGTGGGGCGGGTGTGCTATAAGAGGGCCACGCTACACGGGGCTGGACACCATTGAATCCCAACCCAGACTGAAGACCAGACCAGACCAGACCCCCTGCAGGTGAGACGAATTCCCATGTGGGGTGGGGCAGGTGCATCTGGAGAGATGGCTGACTCTTGCCCTTGACGGCAGAGCAGTAGATGCCCAATATCTGGTTGTGAGAAGGAGGGGCTGGATGTTTGGAGTTTTGGATCTTTTACCTAAAAGGAACTTGGGACATAGAATTAAAATGGGGAGACACAGAAAGCCCGATCATTAGGTGCTCTGCATGGAAGGCTGTCTCGGGCCTGGATTGTGGGTCTACAGGGAGCAGGTGGGAGGAGACTAGGGCTCCTGGGTCTGAGCGGGGAGGTGACAGATCTTGGATCTGAGCAAAGAGAAGGGACCTGGAGACCAGGAGTCCTGCTTCCTGAACTCTGTCTTTCCAGCCCCAGCACAGAAGGCCCTTCCTCTGTGGCAGCCACAGAGGCTCAGAGAGGACACATGGCACGTCCCCTGCTCCAGCCCCTGCTGCTCCTACTGCTGTCCTTCGCCCTCGGATCTGCAGGACAAGAAGGTGAGGACCAGCCTGGGAGTCCTGACCTTGACCTGGGCCTCACAGTCCCCCACCTCCCCTCTCCAGGCCCCCTCTCTCCAAGGAGCCCCTGAGTCAGGACCCTCCCCTGCAGCAGCCTCCTCCCATGGAGACATGGCCCCTGGGCTGTGGCCCCTTTCTTCCTGCTCCCTCCTGACTCCTGGGCTCTGGGTGCCCTCCAGTCTGCTTCCCGCCCTCAGTGTCTCTCCCATCAGAAGCTGGGTTTGCCTCCAGACCAGCTGCTGCCCTGGGTTTTTTGAGCAGCCTCCCTCCGTCTCTCTCCATCTCCGTCTGCAGCTGTCTCTGCCCTGGGCTCCGTGTCTGCATCTGCCCTTCTCCACGCCTCTCTGTCTGTATTTCTCTCCATCACTGTCTCTGGGCATCCATCTACTGTGGCCTCAGCCTTCCCCTGAGCCCTGCTACCCACGCTTTTTCTAGGTCTCCATCCAGCCCAGGATACCGGGGAGAGGATCATTAATGGAGTTGTATGTCCAAAAGGCTCCCATCCTTGGCAGGTGGCCCTGTATGACAACAATGGGTTCCAATGTGCAGGCGTGCTGGTCCACCCGCAGTGGGTGCTCACCGTCGCCCACTGCTACCAGAGGTATGGGACAGGTGGGGCCAGCGCCACTCCATGTCTCTCTCTGGGTCCTTCTCTCTCTCTTTCTCTCTCTCTGGGATTCTGTCCTCCTAACTCAATCACAGTGTCTCCCTCTGAAAGTTCCTTTTTTTTTTAAGTGAGTACATTGTGCAAATGGGTAGTGATCTTCCGGTTGATGCGCGTGCCCAGAGGATCATGGCCTTACAGTCCTTCATCCACCACCGGTATAACAACCGCACCGATGATCATGACATCATGCTGGTGAGGCTGTGCAGGCCGGCCACGCTCTCGCCCACTGTGAACACAATCGACCTACCGTCCAGCTGCAAAGACCCTGGGACAAGCTGTACTGTGTCTGGCTGGGGCGTCACCACCCCGAATGGAGGTGAGGCTGCCCCTGCAACCCCAGTCACCAAGGTCCCGGCTCCCTTCTTCCTCAGGCCACAGACACAGGGGATAGACCTAAGGTTCCAGACATGACCCCCTCCTCAAACACCTCCGTTCTCAGACCCAGGAAGCCAGACCCCCAGGCCCTGCACTGTCAGATCCGGAAGCCTGACCCTTAGACATACCTCCCCCGAGGCCTCCATCCCGCAGACCCAGGAGTTTAGAACGCCAGTCACCACCTTACCCACAGCCAAGTGTTTAGGCTCCCATCCGCTTCCACCCTCAGAACTGGGAGTCTTGGCCTGCAGGCGCCTTCTCCCTCAGACGAAAGGAGACCTGGTCCCCAGCCCCCTCTACCCAGGAGGTGTCCCTCAATGCCAGCACCTCATCCCACCCTTGGTAGATGCCACTAGGGATGGTGGAGCTGGTACGTACTGGGGCCATCCCCTTGGCCTGTCCCCACTAATGAGGGTGGAGGTAGAGTGCGGGCATATGGGTTTAGCTGCCTCAGGGGTTCCAGATAAGAGCAAATGCAGGGAAGGTAACCCCAGAGCTGGGTTCACCTGAACTCCAGGACCCTGAGAGTTGGAGTGGGGCGGGTGTGCTATAAGGCGGCCACTCAGCACAGTACATTCAAACCCAGGAGTTCAGACACAGGTCCCTTCCTTCCGAAGACCCGGAAGTCCAAGAAATAGGACGCTTTTCATAACCATCGTATTGGGTCACCCAGCTCCTCCACCCTCCATGTCCAGGGTCCCCATTCTTTTATATCAGCACCCACAGGTCCACAGGACCCAGCCTCTGACTGCCCCCCTCCCCAACTTCTCCAACAGAAAAAGGTGTATCGGAGCTCATGTGCTTGAATGTCAACCTCATCTCCTACCAGCACTGCAAGCCGTTTTACCCGACCATGTTGAAAAAATACATGCTCTGTGCGGCACCCCTCGACAGGCTCTCCTACTGCTGCACAGTGAGTCCGCTCTTCCCCTGCCCTGGGTTCAGCTTCTTCTCAGCCCTGGCCTGTCTCCCCCTCCATACAGTGTCCCGGGGCCTGACCCTGGTGCTGAGCCTTCCCTCACACCTTACCAGCCCCTCTTTCCCGGCTCTCTCTACTCAATTCTCTGCCCAGGTCTGGGTGGGAGCCCACGGGGGCCTCGGGTCCTTGGGGGCGGGCACAAAGCTGAAGGATAGAAACAGGGGGTGGGAATGGGGCTGGGACTATGGGGAGGGCACTGAGGCACTGGCTACAAGCACAAGCTTTAAGGGCTCACCAGAAGCTCAGTGACCAGGAAATATCATATTCCCATGAAATATTTCAAAAATAATCCATGATGAGCAAAGCATCAGAATTTTCAACAATAGAAGCAACCAGAATGGGCTGGATATTCCATTTGCTTTGGGCTTCTATGTGGTTCAGAACAGCACTGTGGTTCAGTAATGACCCGGTCTTTATCTAAAACTGGAATACCGTCCTAGCGGGTTTGGCTCAGTGGATTGAGCGTAGGCCTGCAGACTGATGGGTCGCAGGTTTGATTCCAGTCAAGGGCACATGCCCAGGTAGCAGGCTTAATCCCCAGGAGGGGGAGTGCAGTAGGCAGCCAATCAATGGTTCTCTCTCAATGATGTTTCTGTCCCTCCCTCCCTCTCCCTTCCTTTCTGAAATAGAGAAAACATTTTTTAAAAGTTAAGCTGGAATACCAGGTTCTTCATGGTTTTTTTCATATTAAATTTGATTTTTAAAATACGCCTTAAAATGTTCGTTGCAATCACTGACATATGCCTGAGGCTCAAGTCCTGCTTCTATGTCTATGTATCTGGTTCTAATTCTGAAGAAAGAACGAGCCCCTCCTTTTTGTTCCCCCTTCCTCATCTCTGTAGCCTCTGCTCTGACTCTCAGAACCAGCTCCCCTCACCGCTCCTCACACCTCATTTCTTTTTATTTTTTAAACTTTTATTGATTGCAGAGAGGAGGGGAGAGGGAGAGAGATAGAAACAACAATGATGAGAGAGAATCATAGATCTGCTGACTCCTGCATGCCGCCCACTGGGGACTGAGCCTTCCACCCAGGCATGTGCCCTTGACTGGAATTGAACCCAGGACCCTTCAGTCCACAAGCCTACGCTCTATCCACTGAGCTAAGCCAGCCAGGTCCTCACACCTCATTTCATTTCCTGATCCCCTCTGTTCTCTCTGTGTTGTGATCTCTCTCTCTCTCTCTCTCTCTCACTCTCTCTCTCTCTCTCCTCCTCCTCCTCTTCCTCCTCCTCCTCCTCCTCCTCCTCCTCCTCCTCCTCCTCCTCCTCCTCTCTCCCTCCCTCTCTCCCCAACCTCTGTCAATTTTTTTAATTTTTTCCATCTCTGCCTCATTACCTACCCCCAACCTTCTGCTTCTCTGTCTCCTTCATCCTTCCCTTTCTTCTTCTCTCCCTTCCTCTCTCTCTCTCTTTCATCCTTTGCCTCTTTGTACAACCACTATCTTTGCTCACATCTGCACTCTCAGCTTTCAGGGGTGGTGAAATGGTGTGTGTTAGGAAGATAGGTGATGGGACAGGGTTGAATGTCTCAAAAATGTGGGGTTCGCCCTGGTCCCCCACTGAGGCCTCATTCATAATTCTGCAAACTGTGCAGGGACACAGAGTCGCAAACTCGGGACAGTCCCGCACTTGGTTTAACGCACTCGCTTTTCTTAAACTTCCTATATTTGAACCTGGTGGTCCGAACTTTTATTTTGCACTAAAGCCTGTAAATTAGGACATTGGTCCTGCCCCTGGTTTCCAGGACTACCCTGTCCCCCACCCCTGGGTAGGGCAATGTATGGGATTCTCTGGAGGTAATACTTCCTCTCCCAGGGACTTGAGAAATAAATGGGGCTCTGACTCCTTGAAGTCCTGCCCTCTCCCTGTGGTTGACTAGGGCTCAAGCCAATGTCTTCCAAAAACCTGGTTTGTCTTCTTCTTAATAGCATTCATTCCTGCTCCACCATTGGTCCGCAGAGACAATGAGTCTCTTCCCATTGGCCAGGGGGAAGGCAGTGTTCTGGCGGGATAAAGGCCTGAGAAGCCTGGTGTCTGTGGGACCTCATTGCTGGTTATTTTGAAATCAAAGCTAATCTGCTCTCTCTCCTCCAGGGTGACTCCGGGAGTCCACTGATTTGCGAAGGTTCCCTGCAAGGCTTGGTGTCCAGTGGCTTTTACCCTTGTACCCCGCCCTTTGACCCAGTGATATACACCCGCCTATGCATGTACCGCAAATGGGTGTATAAAATCATAAAAGCCAATCCCTAATCCCTCCATGCTTTCATCCTCGATCCCTATACCCTGAACAGGGACTTACCAGAAATAAAGACTTCCCTGACGTGCAGCCGTATTTGACTTTATCATTTTCAAAGTCACATGAAACCGTCAACAGCATTTCTAATAAAAATTTGCAAAAACCTATGAGCTAAACATAAGACACAAAAACGTCGGTGCTGGTGAAGATGCGGGGAGACCCCCGCCCTGATCTCCAGCCAAATGGAGGACAATTCTTATGACACAAGGTTAGGCAAGGTGAGTCCGGAATCTCATTCCTCGCTTTTGACCTAGGAATTCTGGTCAATCCGAAACATGGGCAAGGTTTGAATTCATCACAACATTGTGGGGGAGCCAGTACGGCCATGGCATACTCAGCCCCAGGGCGCCTTATGTGCCATGCCAGCTCAGCTTGTGTCAGTGACCCTGAGTGGGGCCTGTGAAAGGCTTAGAAAAGACAGACGAGAGAATGAAAGCTGGGTCTCGGTGAAACGCTGCCCTCTCGGATGGAGAGAGATAGCTTCAGTGCCCACAAGCCGTGTCTTTATTTTATAGCAGATGCCAGGAGGCACTATAAGGGCGTGATCAAGATGTTTACAACATTCTCATGGGTTTCAATCCCACTCCACTACATGCACCTGAACTCTATCAAGCCTGCATCACTCAGGCACATGGGGCCACGTGTTCGGACCATAGGTTCAAGCTCACAACTACAGCTGTTGGCTATAATTGTGCTGGGAGGGCCCTGCCCTCCAAGGTGGGACTTGCAGGTGGCCATGAGAGGCCTGTGCCCTCTCCTCAGTCCAAGGCTTGAACCTGTGCAGACACTGTAGCTGCGTCCCACACAACATTATCTGTCATAGCAAAACAGTGGAAATGCGGAACCTGTCCCAAATTATTCCATGGCTTATCAGTGATGGGGAACCTTTTGAGCTCGGCGTGTCAGCATTTTGAAAAACGCTAACTTAACTCTCGTGCCGTGTCACATATAGAAATTTTTTTGATATTTGCAACCATAGTAAAACAAATATTTATATTTTTTATATGTATTTTATATACTTAAATGCCATTTAACAAAGAAAAATCAACCAAAAAATGAGTTTGCGTGTCACCTCTGACACGCGTGTCATAGGTTTGCCATCACTGGCTTATGTCAACAACAAAGAGATGTAGGCCAGGAGACTAATGACTCTGTTCAGGATAATAATTATGCAGAACTGTGAGTGTCACGTCAGAATGCGTATGCTGTCTGATGTTATATGCAAAAAAAGAAACAAAAATCATATACGTCTGCGATCGTCACCTTGTAAAAAGAAATATTCACAGAATAAGAGCATGTACCTAACTGCCTGTGGACGGAGTCCTGGGTGCCTCCTTCCATCCGTGTCCCTTTCTGTGCCCGTGCACATCTACACCCTGAGCAATAAGGTGGGGACCTCTGAGGAGCCAAGGCTGGGGCGAGGAGACCTTCACAGAGGGAGGTGGGAAAGGAAAATGAACTGAATTCGATACTCACCCTGCCTCCTGCTCCCACTGACACAGTGGCATGTTCCTCTACATTTTCCAGCCCTCAGTTTTACAGAGAGAGAGAGAGAGAGAGAGAGAGAGAGAGAGAGAGAGAGAGAGAGAAGAAGAAGAAGAAGAAGAAGAAGAAGAAGAAGAAGAAGAAGAAGAAGAAGAAGAAGAAGAAGAAGAAGAAGAAGGAGAAGGAGGAGGAGGAGGAGGAGGAAGAGGAGGAGGAGGAGGAGGAGGAGGAGGAGGAATGGAGAATAGAAATGTCTATTTCACACGTGTGGAAAGGGATGGGAAAATGTTTCTGAGCTCGTCACAGATGAAAAATGAGGAAAGAGGGAGCACTTTTTCAGAAATGATGGCGCTGGCACTTAGACAGGACACTAGAATCCATTGAGGCCACAAGTGAGCACCTAGAGTTTGGAGGAAGAGAGAATAGTGGAAGTGGAAACTGGGGTAGGTGGGTCCTATTCTCACCGTGTGCTCAGAAGGAGCCTTCAGAGGAGAGGAGGGAGGAGGGTGGAGGGAGAAGGGAGGAGTCCCCTGTGTCTCAGAGCCTGGCAAGATCAGCAGGTTCCTGGTACCCTGGGCTCCCTGGGCAATCACCACAGACCTTGCTGACTGAGGGTCTTCTCCAACCAGCTGTGATAGGCAGTTCGGCAGACATGAGCGGAGCAAGGACAACAGGCCGGGCACAGAAGGTCACCAGGGAGAGAGCCCAGGTGCCTAGCAAGGGGCAAAATTGGGAAAACAAGGACCTCACCCCCAGGATAACCCACCCCCTGGCCCCCCCACCATATGGCAGGTCATGCAGTTTTCCTCCCTAGGATAACATCTAGGCCTCAGCTGTATTTCATTTCCAGACCCTGAAAAACAGCAAAATTCATGGCTACCTCAGGACCCCCTGGCTGGCAATGACCAATCAGTGGAGACCATGACCCTGAAAGAACACACCTGGAAAGCTGATGAATATTTTATTGAGACCCTCCCCTGAGACCTCCCCAAAGATTTCCACCTGCTAGAGGGAGATAAGTACCCGCCCTTCTGGGGAGCAGGTCCCAGAAAATCCCTTTCCCATCTTCTTCCCCTACAGGCGGGACTCTCCAATACTCTACGGGTTCCCATGAGAATTGCAACCAGGGGAGCAAGGGACAGTGGCAGGCTAACCCCCTGAGCCTGTCTCCAAGCCCCCCTTTTCCCTGACTTCCCAGTGAGCCAGAGCTGCCCAGCCTGGGCTCTCCTACCGCTTCCA